ACATTCTAGTCTTAGGGCTAATATTCGTGTTTTGTTTGTTTGAAACATCACAATCCTTGACATATGTAGTATAACCAGCTATGAATTTTACTGATTGGATGGCAGCAACAACTGACAAAATTAAAGTGTAACGTCCTATTTTCACAACAAAAAGTTTCATTTTTATTAAGGTAAAGCTTCCCAATTTATTAATCCATTAATTAAGAAAACCATTTATTCCAAATTACATTTATTAAAAATCAAAGATTGTAGAAATGCGGAATCTTCAATGTTGCTGATGAGTGTGTACAGTCCTGCCTTCGCCTTCCAGCAATAACCAATGATACCTGAAACCATAAACAACTGTGTAAACATAAAGCTTAGTGAGTTTCCCCAAAATACCACTAGATAAACAAATCACATATACAATCAAACATGTTGGGTCAAGTCAACCATTGGGTTGGAATACCCCAGACCCAGTCAACCTCTGGATCCAGTCATCCTCGGGATGGAATACCCCAGGTTGGAATGCCAATAATAAGCCATCGGAATGGAAGACCTAGGGTTTGTTGGCCTACCGCCTCAATTCTATTGCTCTTCCTGAGCCTCCGTGCCAGAAATTTACAAAAATACCACTAGGGGCCATTTTGCAACACTTCTCATACACAAGGGATAAAATGCAAATAATCTTCATACTTAATCATCGGGATGTTCCAATATGTTAGTGGTATTATGTTAAATACCTGAAAGTTATTAAATGTGTGTTTAGTTTAAGTACTTAAGAAATTAAGTGCTTAATTGATAGTAGGAGATTTCTTAATGAAATGATATGATAGAATGTTTATGTGCCAAATAACACGAAAAACTAGGTAAAGAGTTAGAGACAGAGAGAACGAGAAGAGTTAGAGATAAAGATAGAGAGAATGTGAAGATTTAGAGATAGAGAGAAGGAGAAGAGTTAGAGATAAAGAGAACAAGAAGATATACATATATGGAGAAGGTGGAGAGTTAGAGATAGAAAGAAGGAAAAGAGTTAGAGATAAAGAAATTGAAATGAGACAGATATATAGAGGAGAGAATAAAAAGAGTTAGATATACAGAGATAATAAGAAAAGATAGATATGGAGAGCATGAGAGGAGTTAGGGATAGAGAGAAAATAAGAAGGGTTGGTGATAGAGAGATAATGAAAAGAGAAAGAGATCTAGATTGAATGAGAAGAGATAAAAATATGGAGAAATATAGAGAAAGAGAGAGAATAAGATATATATATATATATATATATATATATATATATATATATATATATATATATATATATATATATATATATATAGAAACACACACACATTGAGTAAAGGAGTAGAAAGTGAAAGTAAAAGATAGTCAGTCAAAGTACTCTGTGAGGGATTATAAGTAGTGGATTTGATGGGGATCAGTGTAATCTGTGATGGATTATACGTAGAGGATCCGCAAGGGATTATACGTAGAGGATCCGTGAGGGATCATTGTAATCAGTGAGGGATTATACATAAAGGATCCGTAAGGGATCATTGTAATCCACAATGAATTATAGGTAGAGGATCCGTAAGGGATCATTGTAATCCACAATGAATTATAGGTAGAGATCCGTAAGGGATCATTGTAATCCGCGGGGGATTATATGTAGATGGTCCGTAGGGGATCATTGTAATCCGCAAGGGATTATACGTAGAGGATCCGTAAGGGATTATATGTAGTGGATCCGTAAGGGATCATTGAAATTCATGAGGTATTTATGAAATGAAATGTAACTAAAGGATCCGCAATGGATCAAAGTGAGAGGTCTAAGTTCAGATGATTGTACACCGGTAAGGTTAGAGTTATGTTGTCACTCTACATGATTGATGTAGTTATTTTATATGACTAGACCATGTGGATCTTAAAGAGAAAAGAAAATGGTAGAGTATGAGAATATGAGAATATATGAATAGAGTGATAGAATATAAGAATATAAGAACAGAGTGATTTATAAATCATCAAATTTGTTAGCTAATGTTTGTAGTTTTTCATTTGTTGCAGGTTCATGTAGTAGCCATACTTTAGTAGCCGTAGTACGAGAAGAGGTAGTAGCACCAAAGACTTTAGACTAGATGCAGATTTTATTTGATATATCTTTGTTGCATTAAATTATGATTAAGATATGTTGTAAACTCGATTGTATTCTAGGATGTAAATTTTTTTGAAACTTTTGTTTTTGAATGTTTATTGTAAAACTGTGATAAAAAAATCGGGTCCTTACACTTTTATTATGCAATTATTAGAGACACGAATAATATTAGACTAACATCTGTTTTGATGCACCCCAACCAAATTATTGATCATAAGACAATCGTCACCGCGGATTGCTTTCATAATCCGAACCCACAAAGCATGATCATTTTCAAGAAAACGCCACATCCATTTCACGCTCATATCATGGCTCAATCTCTCAACGATGGTCCAAAGTAATGATTGTACGAGCTTTCATATCAATCACCTAGATATTACATCATTTATAAATTGTTGCGTAGTAACATATGTATGTAGTTACACTATTATGAAACATTATTATTTTTTTATATTTAAATGAATATAGGATGGGGACAACAAGTAATTTGGCTGTTATGTACTCTTTGCTTCCAAGGCATGCCTTGCTTTGTTCCTTTCCCTTTGGCTTTTTGTTTCTATAATCATGAATTGTCCCACTACTCCTGTATTACCCTTTGTGCTTCAAGAATTCTTTAGACACATTTTTCCTCCCAAATTTCATGATTTTTTTTATTTGCAATGAAAGCGATTGTGAATCTTATATTTGGATTATCATAATTATGTCAACAGCATCTTCATACTGCAACGGAGATCAAATCTTGAGGATATTAATATTAGTAGACATTAGTCATATGTTATGGTTAACGAGTCTTGACCAATTAATGTTCGACAAAAACTCTATATACAATCATCTATTTTACAAGATATACTTTGCAAATATTAATATTAGTAGACATTAGTCATAAGTCTTGACCAATTAATGTTCGACAAAAACTCTATATGCAATCATCTATTGTACAAGATATACTTCAGTGTAGTAATTAAAAAATGTCCGTTAACACAACAAATATTACTTTTTTTAGAACGGGAAACAAATAATATCTCAATGCTAAATTCCGTAGTTAGTCTATGATGCGGTTTTTTGTACAAAAACGAATCATTTCATATATTCTTTTGTGACCTTTACATATTCTATCAAGAAATATTTACATAGATGTAACGGGTAAACGAACAACAAGCTGTGTTGCAACCTCTTTTTAGATGGTAAAACTAATTCTTTTAAAAACATCTATAGATCTTGGAGTCATAACATTACAATGCATGACCTGTTGGACTCTATTGAGTAGTTCCACAGCTTCTGGCGCAAGGAAACCGAAAGTATCAAATGCAAAAACTGTAAACGTGTGTTGATTTTCCATGCACGTTTTCTAATGTTTTGTCACTTTGCTTGATGCAGTTTTTAAAATAGCTTGCCCCACCGTGAAAACTACACTCCCCAAACCCACAATAGGGAAAACCTCTGTTACTATGAGCTATTTGAAATAAAAAAAATTTATATAAAGTAAATTTCATAAAATGGAATCATTTAAAAAAACAATTAGTTGAAAATGTTTCAAATGGTCAACTCCTTAAAATTTAAAATTATTAAAGTTTCAAGATATACATGAGTGTAACAAAATAATCAATAGACAAACGTAACCCTAGGTAACAATAAGCAACCGAATTCTTCTCCTATTCCTTAAGGCTAATATGATTTTTTTGTGATTTTCCTCAAGATATAGTACACGGCTTAGGGAGAAGTTCTCCATACCTGATGGAAACAACAAGTAATCACTTTTGTCCAAAAACAACAACATACTTTGCTAATCATACTTCAACACTTCCAACACCAATATTAATGATTTATATTGCTTATACTAGGTTTCAAACACTATTTAATCATATAATAACATTCATGTAGCATCCTTAACTTAATCAAATCATAGATTAAAGATACCATATTGTAAACTATGTATAATCCGGGGTAGGAGGATTAGCAAATGGTCATTAAGAGAGACATATAAGGGAGAGGTTGGTAGTAAGAGGAGAGCATTAGTGTAGAAGATAGCTTTGTGATTGCCATTGAAGAGAGGTTTGGGGAGGAAGACAAAGATGAAACATGAGAGAGTGATGAGATTTAATAAGAAAAGAAATGTATGGGTCACCAAATGATGTCATCCTTTTTCACCGAATAAAAATTATAAAAAAAAAAATTAAAATTAAAATTCATTTGTATTTTTTTGCGTGGCTAAATTTTATTACCACACTAGCAGGAAGCTAAATGAAAAACACAATTACATGGAAATAGTAAGAACTGAGTTTTGAATCCAATGCGCTTACTGCTTAGATGTACTTATTCAGTTATTTGATTTGTAATGTTTTGTACTTCACTTATTATATAACGACATGGATCTTGAGGATTATGCTGTTTAAATTCTTTTTCGAATATATGATACGATTAAGTTCTGGATTTCTAAAAAATGTATTTAAGGCGGGAGGAACATCCAAATTTCGAAGAAAGGTAATTAATGCGGCGGAGATGGTGGTGGCCCTAACAATACCAAGTCAACTATTTTGGCAAATTTGTCAAAAAGCAGTGGGCCAAATATTTTTGAATTTATGTATCGAGAAATGAGAAATGAGATGTTTCGTAATTGGCAAAAGTTAAAGCCATGTTATATAATTTTGTTGTAAATCAACTGTTTTGTTAAAATTAATTGGTATTTGAGTTTTTTTTTTGTCCGTACTTCTTGAGATGATGATGCTCTATGTAATATATAAACAGTATTTAATATTTAAGTTAATAAAATTTATGAAAGGGTAATAAATATTTTGATAATTTTATCAATTTAATAATACAAAATAATTCAAGATAAAACGATCAACTCAGTTGTTTTTTTTCCATGCATGTGGGGTTACTAACTAATAACGCAACTACTTCCTCCTTCTTATCCTTGATAACATCAAATCATAATAAACCTCCATTTATTTCCCCCTTCTCCCAACCTTTTGTTATGCAGGTTATTTCTGTTTCGATAATTCTTACAATAACATATAACATATTTATATGCTTCCTTTATTCAGTTTCTGAATGTTTTAATGGGTGTAGTCTGTAGTGTATTATAGTTGAAAAAAGAAGCAAATGGAGTACTGTGTTGAAGAAGCATCAAAAACCAGTTCTACAGGTGTTAAATTAAACCACTTTACACCGTCGTTTTCCGATGATTTCTGGGCCGTGAATGGTGTCTCCGGCGACGATTTCTTCGTAGACGGTTTACTGGATTTCTCCTCAGACGGCAGTTTTCTCGAAGAAGACGATAATTCCCAAGTTCTGAAACACACAGATGATTCCAAAAACGACAAAATCTCCTCTCTTTCTCCGGTGAAAATAGTGAACAACGAGGACAAAGCCACCACCATCGTCTCCGACACGGAACTTTGCTTTCCGGTGCGAATTAATTAACCTATTTTCATTTTGGTGAATTAAAGATTGTTGGATTTGAAAATTGAACCTTTTGTAACAGGCAGATGATGTGGCTGACCTTGAATGGGTGTCACAATTCGTCGAAGACTCATTTTCCGGCGGAGACTACTTCTTAACATGCTCGGAGAGGAAACCGGAGACAGAAACTGTAAATCTTGTCGCTGTAAACCCTTCATTTAGGAATTTGGTTCAGAAAAAAGCGAGAAGCAAGCGGAGTCGTACCGGCGGCCGTGTTTGGTCACTCCGGTTGTCGTCGTCGTTGACGGATTCCTCAAATTCATGTTCCTCCTCTTCGTCCTGTACTTCAAACGCTCTGTTACCCACGCAGGAAATTTTAGGGAGACCGCCGACGGTTAAGAGGCAGAAGAAGAAAAAGCCGGTGGCGACTGCTGACACGGCGGGGTTCGGCTGGCCGCAGCAGCCTCGGCGTTGCAGTCATTGCCTCGTTCAGAAAACTCCACAGTGGCGAGCCGGTCCACTAGGCGCCAAAACTTTGTGTAATGCATGCGGAGTCCGGTTCAAGTCGGGTCGGCTTTTTCCAGAGTATCGACCGGCGGGTAGCCCGAATTTTTCCAGTGAAGTTCACTCTAATAACCACCGGAAAGTTCTGGAAATGCGGCAGAAGAAGGAGGCAGAGGAAGGAGGTCCACCTCCTCCGGTTGCCGGTTCGGGAAGAAGCATCTGACGAGGAGTAGAGAACATCAGAACAAGGTAGGAAGTAGGATAGATGTGAACCCGGTTTAAGTGAACCGCTGTTTTCCTTGGTTTTGTTGTTGTAGGTAGTTGTAGCACTTCTATGGTTCTATTCGATTAGGAGTCTTCAGTGAATTAGTATTCATATTTCATCCCCTTTGAGTAATTCCGTTTTTGAATCATAGTATTTTTCTTATATAAACTATTTTATAAAAAATTTACAAAAATAAAAATTAAAAGTTTGGGTTTGATTTCGACACCACACGGTTAATATGTGGAAATGCCAAATTAATCAAACTGAAAGGCGTTGAAATTTATGTAAGAAATTGGAATTTAGCGAATTTGTAATTTAGAGGAATTGAAATTTTATCATCTACTTGGTTAAAAAAAATATAATGGGATTTAATTCCAGTTATTTTGTAAATAGGTGGTAAACTACAAACTTATCCTTATTAACCTTTTATTCTAACACTTATAAATACTTATATACAGTTACATTTACTGTTTTATTAGATACATTGTCAATATATATTCCTTATGCTAAACTTTAATCCATCTTCATTTGATAATGAATTGCTTTTCCTTATTCTTCATTTATGCATTGAAGGTTATGGTGTGTGGTAGGTGAGTCAAATGTCTTTAAGTTAGACTAGGCTTTTATGATTTCCATGTATACAACTATTGCATTTGTAGAATTTGAGAAATATATGGAATTCCTTGCGTGCATGTATAGCCATGAATAATGCAAATCAACAACCTAATGTGTTTGTAAGTAATTACTTTAGTAAGTCAATGTTCACAGACACTTACAAGGGGAACATTAAGCAATTAAGTTGTAGTTGTTTTTAGCCCACAACATATACCAAACCACTTCCCCAGTGGTTAGAAGAATGCCAAGAAAGCACTTAATTAAAAGAAAACCTAATTAGGGGACTTGGTAAAATAAGAAGTTGCAAAACTTGTTTTGAATGGCATAATAAGGGAACATGCAAGAACTCAACAAAAGTACCACCAACGAACCAGAAGAAAAGATTAGGAGGCCATGTGCATGTGAACAACCCAAACAAAGATGGAATGCTCGGATAAGCACTAGACTTTGGAAAAGTAGGGGATAAGGTCTAACTATCAAAGTTGGGTCCAGTTGTAGAAAGGTACAATTTATTTCCAGATAATTACTTTTAGAGTGGTACATTTCCTTTAGTAATTATTTACTTATTTAAACATGGAAAGGAAAATGTGTTTGAAGTCAATGTTGTAACACCCGCACTTTATGCAAAGGGAATTAGCAAATAAATAACATTATGTAAATTCAAAAAAATTTCAATCGATTTAAACTTTTCAAAACAACCCATATTTATTAATTTATTACAAAAATGTTTTCAATTCATTTATTATCAAAGTATTTCTCAGAACCACATTATAAATACATAAAACACGAGGAGCTTCGCCTTGCCACGATCTCTTGAAGTACCTGAAACAATACACTGAAAACTGTAAGCCCTAAAGCTTAATGAGTTACCCTCAAAATATCAACCACATATACCATACACATAACATATCATATCATAAACAGAATAGCCATGCACTTCGGTTCTACTGTGTGACTGGTCCGCCACATCGGACCTTCAGTCCACCTAGTCCACCCTCCGAGTCTAGCAACATACATCGAGTCTGTAGTGTGGTTGGTCCGCCCGCACCGGGCCTTCAACCCACCTGGTCCACTCTCTGAGTCTACAGTATGACTGGTCCGCCCGCATCGGACCTTCAGTCGGCTCGGTCCACTCTTCGAGCCTCGGTACGTCTGGTCCGCCCTCATGGGGCCTACAGCCTATCCGGACCGCTCGTTGGGCCTTCGGAATATCCGTTCCGCCCTGGGTATGTTGGCCTACAGCACAAAGCAGGACCCGCCTCAACCCAACCCCCGTCAATCAATTATGTGCACATAAACATATAATCATATAGTAATTCATCATTAATCAACCAATCTAGCAAATCACATACATAGCACACTCTAACCAGGACACCGGCCTAACCGGTCACTAACATAACATCATCCTATATATACTAGGATTCCGACCTTAATCAGGTCTCTAACATATACCATCCTAACTACCAGGATGCAAACATATATCAAAGTAATAACATAACAACTACCGGGATTTCCATCCGATAAAGGGCCGACCTTGGTGCCTTAGACCCTGTCGATATAGTGAGGATAACTCACTTGTAACTGCCGACATGAAGAGATAAGACCATGCTGCTCCGACCACCAGCACGCACTATACCATTGATTATTACCAAATAACCAAAACCAATAAACACCATTAATTACCAACATACCCTCGGAAGTCAAACTGGTCAACACTTGGTCCAAGTCAAAGTCCCCAGTCAAAGTCAAACTCCCTGACTGACTCTACTCGCCGAGTCAACCCGATGACTCGTCGAGTCCCTATGCTCTGAAAACTCCCATATCGCGACTCAACTTGTCGAGTCGTCCTCTACTCGCCGATTCACTGTTCAACCCGAAAAGGTTAGGACTCCATGACCAGACTCGCCGAATCCAAGGCAATATTCAACAGACTCGCCGAGTTGTTCTTCCAACTCGTCGAGTTATTTCCCATCTTCATACAACTCACCGAGTCTACCCATATGACTCGCCGAGTTACTATGCGACTCAAGACTGATATCAAGCCCGACTCGTCGAGTCATCTCCCATACTCGCCGAGTCCATACGTAACATCTTCATTCAGACGGCTTCAAGCCATTTCATTGCTTCCAATACATAGATTTGGACTCCTAGAGCCAGATTCACACGTAAAGTCTCCAACTTTACGTGCATGCAAGGCTCAACAAGCTCCAATCAAGCTATAAGGAGGTTTTGGGACAAAGATACTCTAAATCAAACCCCATGGCTGATGGTTTAAGCTTTCACAGCTCACTATTAACCTAGATCTAAAGTGGCAACTTCTCATCTAATCTCTAAACCCGAAATGGGTTCCAATCAAGCTAATACTTCCAAAACAACAACCAAGAATCGATCTAGAAGGAGAAAACTCAAGATAACGACTTGTTACCTCATAAATGTGCCCAAGAAGGAGTAGATTTCGGATCTACAATGATCTCCCGATGCTAGCCTCTTGATCTTCTAACTTCCTATTCTTAAATTCTTCTTCCAAGCTCAATCGTCAACAATGGAGGCTCACACACACTAACTAGGGTTGCTGGAACTCAAATGGGCAGTAAAGAAGCCGAGGGTGGATATAATGTGCTTTATATAGGGTATAACTTCTGGGATTAGGGTTCTTCTCCTTTCAACACCAACTCGTCGAGTCCATTTGTCGACTCGCCGAGTTGATCACTTAACATGCGTCCAGAATCGCGACTCAACTTGCCGAGTCTATCCATCGACTCGCCGAGTCGACCTTCCATACTTACACTTAGAGCCATGAACTTGTACTTCTAAACTCGGGGTGTTACACATCATTTCCTATAATGGCAATGTCCAGTGAAATATACGGTCTATTTTTTCGCTTTTAAATTTTACAATAAAATAAATCGAACCCTATTACATGTTGGTGATTTGTTTTACTAATGTGATTTAAGTGTAATCGGATTACTTTGTTGACCAAAAGTGATCTTGATAAATATTAAACAAGTAAGGAATGTGTGGAGTGAACACTTGTTTAAGTTTATTCAAGATTAAAAGTAGACTGTCATTTAGGGGCGAAGCCCCTGAACGAATGGGGTTCTGGGGGTAGCGTCCCTGGTACTGGGAGTGGGGTCCAAGGGGCGGCAGCCCCTGGCTGGGATCGAGATTTTTTATTTGGGTTATATTTTTGTATTGAAATTCATCAGAAATCAAATTTTAGAATACTTGATCCGTTTTTTGGCTTGATATTAATCCTTATAGAAAACCTAGATTTATGACAATTTTTTTACTGTTGTCAAACTGTTTTATGACAGTTTTGACAGTTATCAGCCAAATGATGTATTTAACCAATTTTGGTTAGTTTTTCTGGTACTTACGAATTTCATATATCTCATTCTCTGTTCTTTTCTCTTCCGGGTCTTATCCAATCAAAGATTAGGGAGAACCACCCAATAGTTTGATTTAATAGTGAAATCACAATTCTCAGAATATCCAAATGCCTTTATTACCCTGAAATTCTAGCATTACAATCAGAAATAATAGGAAAGAACTACATAAATTTACACAAATAACTGTATATAAACTCTAGTGTTCCACTCTTGCTAATTCACGATATATTAAGTCCATCAATGAAGCTCTCTAAATACAATACAAACTTTAATTTGACTGACACACATATCGTTTAAAGGATAATACATAAGACATTTGAAATATCTCGTAAGTACATGGATTTATATTCAAAGTTATATTTAGAAATATCATTTCTTTATTCTTCAAAGTAATGACTTTATAAATCATTTTTAATCAGAAAAGCTTTTCCAATTACAAAATGACGCATTAATCAAGAGCATGTCGGCACGTTGCGTTTGGGAGCGTTTAAAAGGTTCTAGCTTCTAATGTTTGACAAAACGCTCCATTTTGAACAGAAAGTTTTGTTTAGCAATACAAGTTTCTAGTATTTAGTTTAAACAAAACGCTTCAAATCCAGAAGCTACTTCATATAGCATTTAACAAAACGCTACAAGCTACAAGCTACCCGCAATCCACTACAAGTTTTCCGCTACCAGTTAGTTTTGCCAAAAATGCCCCCAATCTTTACATTTAATTAAAATATCTTTTTACAAGTAATGTACTTTCTAATTGTTCTAGTACTAAAATACCTTTAAACCAAAAGGATTACTTCTAAACTATAAACATGGTTCAAAAATTCATCACCATGGAACCATATCCTTGCTAGTTTCGTCTCACCAAGTAGCGACTATATACCTTGAGGTTGAATACTTTTCACTCCTCAATTCGATACTTCGCGCCGAGTCACTGCTTGTTTCACAGATTGTTCACAA